CAATAACATGCTATCAATGGATAATTTTGCCCAATCATGTGCGTTATGGAGTCAATAATCAGTTGGTTCAGAAATGGAATCAGCCAAGACCGTCCGTGGCTCCAACTTCACGACCATCGAAGACTTCCAGCTTGTCCGGTCATGGACCAACATATCTCAAGATGCGTCCAAGGGTAGTACTCATCACACATCACCACACCATCCATGATTCGTTGAAACAGCGGTCTGGCCATTCGAAAACGACGGCGAAACTTGGATTCGCCGTAGATTGGATTGGGGCAAGTAGTAGGTAAATCCGAGCATGCGCAGCCTCGCAATCTCGTGGTAGGTTTGGCTGACGGTTGGCAGTAGGGTCTTTAGGGCGCGCAGAAGACTGATGAAAGCCAAGAATCTCCCAAGCTAGATCCATGTCACATGGATCTAGCTTGGGAGATACTGCTCGGCCAGATACATCACAGGAAGCGCCATGCCCGCCGTGCTGGATTCGATAATTTCTTCATTACGCAGCTTGATCACGCTTGCACACTCTTCGGCTGTTATTGTTGTCTCGGTGCCGCGGAGGATCTTCACAATGACGCTCTCAAAATTGGGTTTTTGACAACTCGCGCGCTCGGACCTAACTGTAAACGACCCACCTAATCCGGATAATATTCGATAACCGTATGGAAGATTTGGCGCACTTCCAAAAGAGAGCATTCATCGCCTTGTAAGGCGAGCGTAATCGAGTTGAGGTCTTCTAGAGTGACTAGCAGGGCCGTCACTTCGCGATCTTCCACCACATTGAGTCGTAGCACATCGATACTGTGGTCAGCAATAGCCAATAGAAATGGCTTAAGCTCAATATACCGTTTCAACATGTCGAACGTCGAACTCCAGCGTGCCACACTTAGTGTAATCGCACGTAGGGGGGTCACACGACGCAGACGAGCGGCCGGTAGGGTAAAACGAAGCTTGGTCATAAGAGCGTTATCTTTATCAATAACAGTTGCATGGTTGGTGACCATGTCGGACACAAAGAGGTTAAACCGTTGGCTGGCGCATCCATTAAAAGGCACCCCGGCGAGTCGTGCAAAAGCTACATTGGTGGAGCAGTTATCTCCGATAAGTGCGATGACATTGCTCCAGGACTTCCCATAAAATCCAAGACAAACTCAGTAAACTCCACGTGGGCAGCCGCACTTAGAGATTCCTCCTCGTTGATTGGTGCAACAGACAGTAGTACTCGAGAGTAGCCAATATCATCGCTGGACAGGTAGGACGCAAACAGAGCAAGGTAATGGGTTGAGCCACACGACCAACCATCGAAGACAAGGGCGAACTTCTCAGGTAGTAGAAGAGCCACCTTCTTCTCGACGTGAGCACTTAGTCCGTGCATGTACTTCATGAACGAAGTTTGAGAGATCGAGTCCAAGTTTGCGAAGCGGCGGACGGTTGGATTTGATACAAACGAAAACGGTAGCAAACACAATGTAATCCAATACAGCCAACCAAACGCTGTACGCACATGTCGTGGGACCATGATATCAAATAGAGCTGAGGTGTTAGGGGGTTGGTTGCATCAAATGCAACATATCCGGGGTGGTCGGCGGTGATATGCGAGACGAGGTTAGTGTACCCACTCCCCTTATGTGAACGTCGTGCGCCACACCGGCATGTCCAGTCCGTACTGCCAGCAGCATTCCGAGTAAAGTAAAGCTCGGCGAGCTGGCGGCCGCGTAGGATGTTGTTGCTCGCGATGTTCATCAAAACGAGATATGACGATAATTCGTTATCACTTTTGTGTTAGTGACTGATAACCATCCATATCTACGAGTGGTTTTGAAGCCAGGTGTCGTGGTAACCACGAATTATTTATGTCAGAACGAATATTTATTTTTTACCTCTAGAAGTTCGAATAATCTATTTCTGATTGCTCCAAAAATAGGTTATTCATTTTCTTCGCCGTGACAAAAGAATAATATATTTTTAAACGAAAAATGAATATATTCACGGGAAAATTATTATATGGTCAGCACTGTCCATGTCATCATCATCGTCCTCCCACGCATGCACAAACCTGCGCGCCAGGCATTCATTTCCGGATAAAAACACTATTCGGATTGTTTACAGTTTTACCGCTTGGGTTGACGAAAATCAAAATACAGTACCGTTACAGGAACTGTAAAACGGTATTTTACAGTCTTATTATACAGTCGCACCGGTGGGGATGCCCTTATGTCGATAGTTGCGGCGAAGTATGGTTAGTTGTTACTGAATGCTAGTATTATTGATTGAGAATGACTAGAACTTGTCAATCATGCACATGCTACTGCGCACTAATCTTGGTTAAGTATCAAGCGTACGAGACACGGTTGTGTTGTCGACGTGGTTCCAATAAGGGTTGCGGGTCAATCGCTTTCAAGTTAACGTCCCTTGGGGGATTTCGACATTCAATTTACTTTCAGAAACGTTCGGAGTAGAGACCATTTCCCTCTCCATCGCTAAGAGCAGAACACACCTACAGTAACGTTGCCAATGTAGTAGTTCTACCAGGGGTAGTCTGCTCTTTACGCGGAGGAGAAGCTCTTAGCGTGAAAGGGGTGAATTTGTTAGCGGTATGTCCCCATTCCACATCACCAAACTCAACAATGGGTGATTATAACCAATAAAATAAGCGTGTCCAATTTGATTAGTTAAAATGTCTTCGCCGAAAATGCTTCCTACAAATTCCGATCACAATACAATACTACGTATTATAGTAAGTACTATTAATACGTAGTAGTACTGTATGGACAGGGAAATGCGGAATTCAAAGCCAATTTTTGCTTCGTGATTTCTGATGTCTTATTGGTTAGTGTGCTTCGAAGTACGTTTTGTATTTGACAGTGAACTAATGACAACAGGGTCCTTCAAATAATATTCAGTTCATCGCTGAAGCTTATTATATTATGGAGGAAATTTAAGTATTTTGTATTATGTTTTGCGTAAGTGGCAGGTCAAATTGTCTTGGGATTTAGCAGGTCATTCAAAAATAGAGAATAATATAGTGTGCGTTTACAGTTAATTGAATCACTATTGATACAATGAACACAGTATAAAGCGCTGTGGAGGACTACCAAAAATACCCCAGATTTTGAATCTAAAATTTACTCAGACCAGCGATTTTAGCCAATCTGAGGAACCCTCAGATGTGCGAAGACCAAATTTTGCCCAATTAACATTTCAAAAATTTGGTTCAAAGTAATTCGAAGGATTTGGTTGTCACATCTTTTTGGCTGTCTGGATCAAGCAGATTCTCAGTACTTGCCAACTTTCAAAAACAATCCCTTAACTGTAAACCTCTTTTTTATTTTTTGGCAAAAAACACGAAATTTGGCGAAATATTTACATGTTAATTCTCCAAATCTCTGATCCAGACAGAGAATTTTCATATTTTGCCGATATCTTAGAAATTGCCAAAATATTGAAGATTTTGGCCTTTTTTTTTATATCCAGACTCACCCTAATTCGATATTCGCCGAGAACAGGTTACTACGTAGTAGTTTTCGACCTCCAGTAGGTGTGTACCTACTGGAGGTCGAAAACTAACCTGTACTGTAGTAGTACAGTGACCACCTGTTGCCGGGGAAATCCTCTATAATATTATAGGTTACATTCATGAAGTATTAATAACGTCACCAGTAGTTACTAATTGATTTTGAAGCGTACTGTCAAGAGGGATGATGCAGGGGGTAGCACTGAGGAGGAACGACGTCGAAGAACACTTGTGTGGTCGAGGACACAACCAAAAGTGATCATTAACGGACTGCTAGCTGACCTATGATTGGGCAGAAACAGTCCGGCTTCAACAGAGAAAGCACTCCGGATAATTCCGGATGACCCGATAGTATCCGTAAATGACCGAACCTCGGCGAAAAAGGCCAAAGCAAGAACGGCCAAAGTGCTTCTTGACACTGGGCAGCGGACTGCTGAAGGCCTTCGAGACAAAGAGAGGCAATGCCAAAGGCAAAAGGGCTTAGCGAAAAATTCGCCGAGGCCAAACAATGAAAAAGGTATGTCGCTATAAAAGCCACCCTGAGAACAGAGACGAAGAAGGTAGGACAGGAACACACATAAAATAGTATTGAGCACATAAGTGCATGATTTCTCATAGAGTAAAGTAAAAGCCTAAGGTAATGCGTAAACGCAAGGGTGCTCAAAGAACATGGTAATGACCATAAAGTGCATATATCGAACGAAGAATAAGAAAGTGTGGCTAAAAGTAGCGGGTAAAAACCAAGTTAAATTGCCATAAGCAAAAATACAAGTAATACTCAGAGAGTAGGGGTAAAAACCCATGAATTGCAAGTAGGATGGACGGGGGGCCTGGGAGCACCATGTAGAAACTTGGGCAAACCATGACGCCACTCGGACGGCGGATCCTTGAGCAGCGCCGCGGGCCAGACGGGACCGCCGACTTCAAAACGGCACGAGCAGACATAGAGTGCACAAGTCGCCACATGGTCGTGGGCGAGGATGAAGGCGGAGAATGAGCAGTGTGTGCTTTGAAAGCAAGTGCAAATAATGCATGATAAATATCAATAACAACCATAAAGGCTTAAAAATTGAGTGAACACAATGCCATAGGCAAGGGTCAGTGGGGTACACGGCCGCAAAGGTAGTCACCAAGGGCATAGAGTCGCAGAGCGAGGCAGAACCTGCGAAACGCAGGTTTCCGGTGCGCCTTCGTAAAGAAGTCCGCAAGTTGTTCTTTGGTAGGACAATAATGGAGAATAAACTGCTTGTTCTCAACGAGATGTCGGTTGTTGACAGAGTCACGATACCTTGTTTCTTCGAAAGCCATGAAATAAGGCTGTTGAAAAATAGGATAAAAAATCCACTGACACAGCGTTGAGTATCGGGGCACATAGCATCCACATAAGCCGACAGAATCGGCTTGAAGACATAGTCTCGGCCGCCTAATATAAGTCCAAGATTGGAAGTGCCTTGGAGGTAGCGTAGAACGGAGCATGCCATTGGGCAAGACCCGGATGAAGGGTATAGGTCAAGTCTGGGCGAGAGCCCATGGCTAAGTACATAACACTTCCAACTATTGACCGATACGGTTTTATTTGCATGAAAACAATGTCTTCAGGTGAACTAAAACACTGAGCCTTGGATAAAGACGTGGTGCACTCAAAAGGAGTGGCGACGGGTTTCGACGTTGACATGTCAAAGCGATCAAGTACTGTAGAACAATAACTTGATTGATGGATGAACAGAGTTCGTTTGAAACGGTCACGGACGATTTCCCAGCCGAGAATATCTCGTACAGGACCTAAGTCCTTCAACTGGAAGCGTAGTGATAGTGACTCCTTGAGAGCGGCAGCAAGAGCCTTGGTAGGAGTAATGATCAAAAGATCGCCGACATAGAGGCAGGGTCAATCAGTGAGCCAGGAGGCTGCTCCATGCGTACAACGCAGTCGATTTTGCCATTTAGACAGGCGGTTTTGACATCCATTTGCTCGCATTCCAAATCATGGATGGCCACTAAGTCAAATAGAAAGCGTGGGACTTCAAATCGAACAACAGGAGCAAAAATGTCCGTGTAGTCGATGTCTTTTTATTGCATGAATCCTTTGACGACAAGTCGGGCCTTCTAAGTGCCATCGGCTTTGAGTCGAAAGACCCAGCGACACGGTAGAACCGTTTCATGACGACGTTTGACGAGCAAATAAGTGCCGTTGGAGAGTAAAGACTCCTATTCGGACTTGGCTGCTATATGCCCATTTGTGACATCATGACGACGTTTGACGAGCAAATAAGTGCCGTTGGAGAGTAAAGACTCCTATTCAGACTTGGCTGCTATATGCCATTTGTCGCGGTCGGGACGGGACATGGCATCACGTCAGTCTTTGGGGTCGTTGTTGTTGGCAAGGTCGGCAAGCAGAGCATAGATGAACAATGGTTCCATAGGAACCAAAGTAGAAGCAGAGCTCGAAGGTGGCGTCACGAGAATAAATCAATAAATGAGAGTGCAAATGCATGAGGGTATAACCCTTTCGATCATGTGGGAGACTCACAAACATAGCCTTGACGGCACGGGGATCGAGCTTGGATGATTGCGCGGCACGTTGAATGTGCATAAAACGCGGTGCAACCAAAGGTTTTGATGTGACCCAAAGATGGGTGTCGTTTAAAGACGACGTGGTAGGGTGAAACACCTTTGTTGGATGCCAAAGGAGAGATGTTGATAAGCCATGACGCGTAATCAAGGGCAAGAGCCCATAGGAACTTGGGCAGAGCCCCTTCAATGAGCATAGCTCGCATCTTTTGGACAACAATGCTGATACGGCGTTCGGCAACAGCGTTTTCTTGGGGGGAGTAGGCTGGATGATGCGCCCGAGTTTCTCGTACTCTTTCGCATTGTCGCTTTGAAGAGTGCCGATGTCCATGGGTGATGAGTGGCGCAGCTCACTAACATCATGTTTAAAAATGGACATGGCGTCCGTACGAAATAATTTGTAGGTCTCATAGAGATCTTTGCGAAAACGCATGGGATAGGTCCACATAAAGCGGGAGTAGTCATCGATGATAGCGACAAAGTAGCGGCGCCACCCGCCGACAGAATAGGACTTGGGCCCCAAACATCAGAATGTACGAGGGCTAAGTAGGATGTCGCGGTGAAGACAGCAGATGCGTCAAAAGGACTACGCTTGGACTTGGCATAAGCACAAGTCTCACATAATTGACCACGAAGGTTCTTGGACTTGAAAATCGTTAAAAGTGGAAAATCCACTGTAGGTCAAGGAGAATTTCCGCAGAGCGGTCTCAAAGGTGGCCATCATGCCACTAAGCATGGCCATTTGGCCCCAATGGATATACTCGCCACGGAGCGGATCGGTAGAGGGCTCGCACTTGGGCTGGCAGGGAAAGGAGTATAGACCCATGGCATTGTTAGGTGGACGAAGCACATCACCAAGAGTGATAGTAATTTCGCACATATCGCGGGCCGTAAAACGGACTGAGATGCCTTCATCGGTCGCTTGGCGAACCGAGAACAAGTTGAACTGTAGTTCAGGGCAGTGTAGACCAAAGGTGAAGCGTAGAGCGCATGGACGAATATCGTCGGCTTGGTCACGGGACGACATGTCCATGGCCAAGGAAAGAGGGCCATAGCCAAGGACGGGAAGTTGGGCGCCGTTCCCGAGACAGTACGCAAAGAACATAATTGGAGAAAAAATCTCGGTTGGGGTGCATGAAGCAGAGGCGCCGGAGTCAACAATCCAATGTTCACGCAGAGCGGGAAAGTCATTTGGAAGTTAAATCACCGACATGGGTAGGGGCGGATCACCGGGGTCGCTTTCACAGTAGCGTAGGTCCGCATGAAGGGCAAAAATGCCTTGTCCACCAACAACTTGGAATGGGGGATGGGGACGGACACCGTCCACACATCTTGGGGGCAATTGGAGAACCACTTTTATCGGCGTTTCCGACGCCGCTGTGATAATATCGGTGCGTGTGGCCAAGAAGGCACTGGGTGGGAACAGTGGAAGATCCACTTTGGTTGGGTTCGTGGGAATTTGGAACAGTGGACGTGGTGAGTAGAGGGGCAAACGCTCGGTAATAAGTACCTCGGCAGAAGGGACTTCAGCGTAGTCTAAATCGCCGGCATTCACAGGAGATGGGAAGTGGTGGGGGAGCTCGCCCGGTGCATCAGTGATGGGAGCGAGGGTAGTAGCCGCAATAAACGGAGGTTCATGGGGCGGTGATGCAAGAACATCGAAGAGTGGGGCAGAGCCCGGTTGAAACACCTTTGGTAGAACCGATGGTGGTTTGGGACGCTGGAGGACCCGGTTGAGAGTAGACGGAGGCACAAAGTGCTGGGTGTTGGCAAAGCCATTGAGGAGATTGCCTTCATGAATGAATGGACGAGCGGCTGCACGAGCAGCAATGCCTGCCTGGTCATTACGACCTCCACGATGAGTGCGGCCATAGCCTTGGTCGCGTTGTCGATCACGGCTGCGGTCGCGGTCGCGGTTTTTGTCACGGCTGTTGCCCCGATTGGTGTACCCGCCATTTCGAGGTCCACTAGAGGAACTTGGTCCCCATCCATGGTGACTATTAGAGCCCTGGTTGCCACTAGGCCCATCGCGATCATCGCGGTATCTCGAGGACGTTGGATAGGACGCGACGGAGCGACATAATCGCGTTTGCGCCTCTTTTGAGAGGCAGAGCCATGCTTGTCAAAGACAGTGCGATCAAAGCCAGGATGCATAGTGTTGTGGGCATAGTCCGACTTGAGGGTGGGGCACGCAGGAAGCGTGTGATTGGCAACGCCGCAGCAGAAGCAGGACTTGCCGGGGTGATTGATACAATCACGGTGAGCATAGCTCGGGATAGTGAAAGCGTTCATAACATGAACTGAGCCTTCGGCTTGCGTTATTGCTTGGGGTGGTGGCGCAGGGGCTGCAACGGCATGCGTGACAGCTGCAAGCTGGGTTCGTGTTTGAACGGTAGCGGTAGAGCCGTTGTCACCCAGAGCAGACGCTCGTTGGAGACGATTGGTAATAATACGCCAAAGAGAGGCCCAAAAGTCAGTGACGACGACGGACTGGTTGGCGGCACGCGCGGTGGCCACTTAGTTCGTCACAAATTCCCACAATTCCTTGTCACCAATAAAGGTGTTGGACATTGCACACATAGTGTAGTGATTCCAGAGCTGGTTGCGGTAGTCGATGGACGAGATCGCCGATGGATCCAGAGGATTGAACTACGGCGGCAATGACGGTGGGTTGTTGTCCATGGGGTTGGACTCGAAACGAGTCTTGATGCTCAAAGAGCTACAACGGACACGTAGTGGCCTGATAGAGGCGCCGGAGGTTGGTGGAGATGGCCGATACCAAAAAGGTGTGCGCCGCAGAGCGTTGATTCGCAAGTTTCTTGGTCGCCTCACGGGCAATGACCTTACGTTGGATGGTGGTTGTGCGCGCCTTGATCTCAGCGAGACGTACATCGCGATCGGTCGCCGACAGAGTCGGGTCAACAACGTAGAGCTCAGAGTGATCAACTTGATCGAGCTCGAGGTACATCTTACTGATGTTGATCGCATTGGATTCTCTTGCTTTGAGGGACATAGTGCGGCGTAGAGTAGAACTCAGCAAGGTCACGGGAGGTCGCTTTGGACAAGAAGTCCGTCTTCTACAAGGTGTACGCCAGAAGCCGGAGGCCGTCGAGTGGGGTACTCTACAATGATTGGCTCAAAATCGAATGAATCTTGGACACAACCTGACACGAAACAATGATGCACATATGAATTCGATTTAGATACCTACGACTCTCGTCTACGCTTTCTAGCTAGGCGCGCAAACGTGACCATCTTCAACTGAGACAAGCGACGCTGTTGTCCCAGTTGAGTCTGTCCCCACAACGAAGGCAAGGCAGTCATAA